ATTGGATGTGTGTGTGTGTGTGTGTGTGTGTGTGTGTGTGTGTGTTCACATGCAGGAAATTGTTGCTTTTCAAGCAGAAAGAGTCTGACTTTCAGTTAGAAGGTGGGAATATTTGGGCACCTCATGTTGATGCATCCAAAATCATACTTCAGACTAAATCCAGAGCATAGACCCGGTCAGACCTAAGAGAAACAAAATATTTTTGCTCCAAACCACAGTAAAAACAGCTTTCCTTTATACAAGATTTAAGGGACCAAATGAACAAAACAGGAGTAAAAAGGGTACACTGACATAAGAGTCTAACATGCTACGGGACAGCTTTACCTGCTGTCTTCAGTGTTGCCATGACTGTTTGGTCTAGAGTGTGAGAATGTCTGTTTTTGACCTAGTATGAGCATATAGTGTGACTTTAATAAAATTACCGTTTCCCTTTAAATTCACAAAAAAACTAAAGTATTTTTAAACACTGACTTTGAATTCAGAAGACGTTACTTCCTCTTGGTTGTGTCTCGAGCCGTGTCCCAATTCAGGGGCTACAGCCTACCTAGACTGCAGCCTATGGAGGCCACAACCTTCCCAGTCCGTGTAGGCTGCATAAAACGTCCGTGAAATGAAGTATGTTTGCATTACCCATTACCATAGTGATATGTTTCACATAACATGCCTGTAGACTTAAAATGCTTTGGGACATCTATTCACATGTTTTTTCCCCCACTGGAAGAATAACTTAATAGATAAATTTAAAAAAACAATAATTTGTGTTTAGTGCCGATATCTGTACTTTTAATTGCATTTTATTCAACATCTAATTGCAGCATAAATTTCAACAGCTACATTGCAAAACATTTATTTAAAAACAAATTCTTTGGTCCGTGATGTCCTCGGCTGGGAAGGATACTTGTATGCAGCCTTCGTTTTTGGGGTTTTGTGGGCCGCGTGAGAAGAAGCCCAATAACTGGGACAGCCTTTGGCACCGGGCAGTGACGCGAGCAGCCAGCAAATGCAGACTTCAAAGGATGCAGCCCCTGAATTGAGACCCARCCTTTGTTGTGTGCTGGATATAGACTGTTCAGACAATACACTTCACCTTTGGCAGTTCTCATAATGTTGTGAAAATTAAAGGTTTATCTGTTTTGACCTTTTAAATTGATTCAGAATCCTTCATATCTGCATTGAGATGTATCAAAAATAGAGTATTACCCCACCCCTACTTTCAGCATTGTAGATAGACATGTTGATGTGTGGAGTTTTGAGCCCAATGGAGACAATTAAAGCCTTTTAGGACTGTTGGAGAGGCTCCTGTTATCAGATCATCTCTTGGACTGAGGGATAAGCTTTCTGCTGCCTCTCCATGCTGCAATCTGCTCCCCCAGCAGGAACAGATCCTGCCCTCTCTCTCTCTCCCACTCTCTCTGTTGGTTTCTGAGTGTGCGTGCATGAATTTGTCTGCACTGGCCTCTAATTGGGCCTACTTTCTGTTCTGAGTTTCCTGTGTGTGGGAAGGGGAGCTTGATAGCACAAACCAGATCCAGTTAATTAGCCTGAAATCAAAAATGAAAGAGACAAGAGATGATTTGAATTTCTCTGTTCTTTCTTTGAAGCAGCTGGTACTCTTTCAGTGTACGCTGTCAGCCCACTCACTTCCTGTGTGGGAAAAGTGTGTATTTCTATGTATTATTAATGTTTGTTTTCCACGTTTTTTTTTTTCCTTTCTCAGTTTCTACTTTTGGTCATTGGGTTTATTCTTTTTTATAGGGCTCTTATGGTGTTGTCAAGCTGGCTTACAATGAGGATGACAACACATACTATGTAAGCTGCAATATTACAAATATTACCACTCGTTTGTCTAATTTGCTTCTTGTCACTTGTTGAGCACACCCCATCCCCAGCCTGACCTCACATTACTGATTGATTTTATATAAAAACTCCTCATGTGGAAATGACGATCTCCTGATAACTGAGTTCACAAACGTGTGTAAAATACAGCAGCTTAAGCTTTTTTTTTTCTGCTCGCAGTTTATAATTATTGCAGAAAGTCTCATTAAGCTGCATGACAGCTACTGAAAATGAGTTGGGGATTATTTTAATTGTTCTTCCAGTTGACAAAACCCACATGTCACATTTTAGTGATTATACTATTGTAATAACTGAGTGCATCAAGCTAGATTATTAAAAATCTGTTCAAACCTTCACAATGTGACTGTTCAGTCTGTTGAACTCTGTGGTTGTCGGCTTTAACAGTAATTAGTAGGAAATGATTGGGTACAATGTGGCTGTGATTGGAAGATTTGTGGTTTGATCACCAATGTTATCCCAACACATTTTACAGTACATTATATATAAAGTGTATACAAATATACTCTTACAATGTTGTAGTGGTGTATGTTTAGACATCTATTATACAAACTGATTTGAAGAATGTGCACCATATAAGTTTAAAAAGGCTAAATCGGTGTATGTGTCATTGGTAATATATGCTGCTAATGTACCTGCAGACACACAGTTTTACACGTCATATTATTTGTATTGTATCTAGTTTCTGATCTGACAGCTACAAGTAAGCATTGCTTAAGTTTATAGTATAATACAAACAATATAAAACATTAAACAGTTTTTTATTTTATTTTATTTTATTTATTTTATCTATTGTTTATTTGAATAGGGACAAGTGTCAAGTATTAACAATACTATACAC